TGAGCGGGAATCGAACTGGGTTTGCCGTGTTGGTAGCGCAGCGTAGCGTTAAGCACTACACCCACCGCTCCTCACACACCACACACGCACACACACAGACACACACAGACACACACACAGACACACACACACAGACACAGGCAGCACGCTAAGCACTACACTACCGTTCCCCCTACACAACACACGCGCGCGCGTCCATAGGTACACATACACGCGCTTGCTGCAGACACACACGACTTTCAGGGTGCGTACGGCAGTAAACGACTGAAATAATAAAGCGGCAATGCTGTGTAAGGAACGCCTTAGACCCGCATTACACATTTGTGTAATGCGAGCGTAAACACACAAACACACACGAACACATACACAATACACACACACATACATGCAGACACACAGACAGACACATAACACACATACATACACACACATACAAACACAGAAACACATACACACATACATAGACACACACATACACATCCACAGACGTACATACACCATACATACAGGCACGCAGACATACACAAAACACATACAAAAAAACCCACATACATACACACACATACATACACACAAACACATGCACACACATACATACACACATGCATACAGACACACAGACATACACATAAACACATACACACATACACATGACCCGGCTTCGCCCGGGACTTGGATCCACCACGCCCGGCCGCCTTTGTCCCCAGTGCCGATGTTAATACGCAACACCAGTTACTCGTTTGAGGCTGAGTCGACCTAGGGGAGGTTCAAATAATCGTCACCGGTGGTGGCCGTGAGCGGGAATCGAACTCGGTTCGCCGGGTTGGTAGCGCAGCGTAGCGTTAAGCACTACACCCACCGCTCCTCACACACCACACACGCACAGACACACACACAGACACACGCAGACACACACAGACAGACACAGACAGACACACACACACACAGACACACAGACAGCACGCTAAGCACTACACTACCGCTCCCCACACACCACACACGCACACACACACAGACACACACACAGACACACGCAGACACACACAGACAGACACACACACAGACACAGACAGCACGCTAAGCACTACACTACCGTTCCCCCTACACAACACACGCGCGCGCGTCCATAGGTACACATACACGCGCTTGCTGCAGACACACACGACTTTCAGGGTGCGTAAGGCAGTAAACGACTGAAAAATAAAGCGGCAATGCTGTGCGAGGAACGCCTTAGACCAGCAACACATTTGTGTAATGCGAGCGTAAACACACAAACACATACAAACACATACACACACATACACACAAACACATACACACATACACACACATACATACACACCATACACATACACACAAACACACACATACATGCACACAAACACATACACAATACACACACACATACATGCAGACACAGACAGACACATACACACATACATACACACATACATACACAAAAACACATACACACATACATAGACACACACATACATACACACAAACACATGCACACACGTACATACACACATACATAGAGACACGCAGACATACACATAAAGACATAAAAAAACCCACATACATACACACACACATACACACAAACACATACATACACACATACATAGAGACACACAGACATACACATAAACACAAACACACATACACATGACCCGGCTTCGCCCGGGACTTGGATCCACGATGCCCCGCCGCCTTTGTCTCCCCAGTGACGATGTTCACACACGACAGCAGTTACGCTTTTGAGGCTGAGTGGACCTAGGGGAGGGCCAGGTCCGTTTCAAATAATCGTCAGCGGTGGTGGGCGTGAGTTGGAATCGAACTGGGGTCGCTCAAGCAGCTTAATGACTGTTTGTACAAAGAACATATAAAGAATCGATTATAATAACCAGGCTACAGTCCACATTTTAGACTGCCAGTACACGCAGTCAGCTTCATAAGCAGGCTAGAGTGTACATGATAGAGTGGCAGTACGCTCACCGAGCTTAATAAGCAGGCTACAGTGTACATGATAGACTGGCAGTACGCTCAGCCAGCTTAATGAGTATTTGTACAGTGAACATTAAAGTAATCGATTGTTGGCGCGTTGGGTTTAAAAGTAATATTAATAGCACACATTGTGGTGGGGGTGTAGTGAAGAGTAGGAAAAACTTTGATGAATTTACCTCAGAGTGGCGTGGTGGGTGTCGAGGCCTAGTAGCGTGCAAAGCCTGCGGCCTCGCCTAAAATTGTCGGCTTGGAAGAGGCAGGGTACGGGTGGCGTTCCTTCCCCCCCCCCCTAGCGCTCCAACAATACTGTGTAATGGCTATTATTTAATTAAATACGGAGCTTATGAAAGTGGCGAAGGCGTGGCTAGCCGTTGGCAGGGGCAACCGCCGTCCAATGAAACTGCAGCCCTTGGCGAAGGCGTGGCTAGCCGTTGCCAGGTCCAATGAAAGCGGCGAAGGCGTGGCTAGCCGTTGCCAGGGGCAACCGCCGTCCAATGAAAGTGCGTATGGGCCGAAATACACACACACACACAGACAGACAGACATGAACGATTTTATATATAGATGGTAGTCACGATGCAAGCTGAATTTTTCCTATCTTCCGAGATCTGACGAGATTCTGGGGCATTTAAGGCGATTTGGTCATCGGCTGTGTGCCATATGCTGTATGCAAAATATATACTGTTCTGTAAAAAAAACACTGATAATTGCTCACTCACCCGTGTTTATATCTGACCGGGCAAGCTCTGACTCACATTTGGCACGGATCCCAGTAAGTCGATAATCACGGTCAGGGTCGACTCAGTTCAATCAACACCATGAGCATCACCAACATAATCGTCATCACAACCATCATCATCGTCATCACAACCATCATCACAATCATCATCGCCATCATCTTATCATATTCAGAGCAGCACCACTTCCTCGGGACACATGTTCCCGGCATAGGCAGGTGGAATTTTTGTACAAGCTCAGGACAGTGGGAAATCAGCATCGCCACACACTCTTTTTGGAAAAAACTAACAGTCTCTTATATCAAACAATAAAGTAATAATCTAGAGCCATTTGTCAATCATCTTCTGTATGAAGGCCTCCCCGTGCCGTGTCGGTCATTGGGTTATTTGTCCTTATCTAACCACGCTGTTAAGTGCGGTCCCCAATGTAGTGCCTAATATCATAATCGTTCCATTCATTGTTCGCTCCCCTCATCTGCCAGATGGAGTTGGGGAGCACTGCCTTTGCTTTTCCTTATGACCTCATCAGTCACGATCTACCCACTGCTGAATGAAGGTCTCCCCATGCTGTCGACATCCCTCACGGTCTCACGGCATCGCGATGCAAACAATCCATCGACCTCCGCAGTGGCCTCCCTCTTCGGCGCATTCTCTGCTTTGGCTGCAACTTCATCGTTAGTCTCGACCTCGGCCATCCCAGCGAACGTGCAAAGTTAACAGTGTGAGTCTCAGTGTGTACCTGCTCGTGCTTCTTTGCGCACTTCTCAAGCTGATGTTCTAATGTCTTCGTGTTAGTCTCCACGTTTCTGATCCGTGTGCGTAGTGGGCGAGTACACTGATGTAACACTCTCTCCTTAATGCGCAACAAAAAACTCCTTCCTATTATCGTTAGTCTATTAAAAAATGTTGATCCCGATCCACCTTCAATAAACGCCTGCGTTTTCTAGTACTGGCCCTCAGCAGCGTACGTGACATCTACATCAGCTTTTATTTAACAAATGAATATTAAAGTACATTCATTATCCCCTAGCCATTGTAGACAATGAAAAGCCGTTCGATTAAATGGAATTTTAATTCCAAGAATGCACCTCTCCGAGTCCCTTGGCGTATTTTGCCCATCCTCACGTGGGCGCTCAACGCCTCACGCAAATTATCACGGGCTCAGTCAGCCCAGACACCGTCAAATCTCGATTCACTGTGCACCCACACGTCTGGAGAAGTCCCTGTGTTAAAACATCCGTCATTACCATTGCCTTACGGAAGCCAAACATTTGGAATGCGTCAGATATCGTAAAACAATCGGAAGCTAAGCAGAATTGGAGCCTGGACTATGCTTGGATGCAGTATAACAACGACAATAACAACCGATGTTTACCACGAGTGGTAGTGACGTCACTACGGCGCTCGTGTCAGGCTAGGTGCAATATAAGCAGGCAGAATTAGCAGCAATAACACCACCCTCACTGACAGCAGCATGACCACCAACGCCAACAGCTGTGCCATAAGCACTATCAGCACCAGCAGTAGGAAACAGTAGCACAGCACCATCACTACCAGAGCAGCATAACTACTAACACCACAGCCACCACCACCAAAAGCAGCAGAGCAATAACCATCAGCAGCTCAACATCATCATCAGCACCATCAACATCATCAGCATCATCCTCAGCAGCAGCAGAAGCAGCAGCATCATCATCAGCATCATCAGCATCAACATAATCAGCATCATCATCAGAACCATCACAGCATCAACATTATCAGCAGCACCATTCATCATCAGCAGCAGCATCATCCGCAGCATCAACATCATCAAACATCATTATCAGCCACATCATCAGCATCATCAGCAGCAGCAGTATCAACATCATTATCATCAGCAGCAGCAGAATCGTCAGCAGCATCGTCAGCAGCAGCATCAGCAGCATCATCAACAGCAGCAGCATCAGCTCCATCATCAGCAGCAGCATGCCCCCTTCCCTCGGCCCCCCCCCCTTCCCTCGGCCCCCCGTGCCGCTGCTCCGACTCGGGTTCTACTCCCCGCCCCTCAGCGCTCCCCTCCTCCCTCCTTGCCTCTCTCCCTTGCCTCTTCATGCCTCCCCTGCCTCTCTGACTTGCGTCTTCCCCCCACCCGCGCCTTTGCCTCTCTCCCTTGCCTCTACCCCTTGCATCTCCCCCCTTTCCTCTACCCGTGCCTCTCCCCCGCTATATAAAGGGATGGACTCCTCTCCACTCAGCGCTCCTGCTTGGGCTCAGCGTGTCTCAGAGCTTCTCTCGGTGTCCACCTCGCTGCCGTGTTTGTGTTTCCCTCTTGGAGTTGTTAATTTTTTTCCAACAATTTCCACTGCCTGGTCGGGCCCCACAATCACCACCACCACAACAACCACCGCCACCAACCACCAATGGCTCCGGGAGCTGTAGAATCGTTGAGAGGGTGGCTGGTATTAGGGACGATCGTCTTGCTCCATGTGTTGTCCCACAACTCCTCACAAGGTAAGATGGGCGCCGCGGTGGCGAGATGTTAACTGCCTCGCTTGGTATACAGGAGGTCGTGGGTTCGATCCCGACCTGACGCCTCTGTGTTTGGAGTTTGCGCGTCTCTCTCCCCATGGTCACGTGGATTTTTCTCTGGGTTTTCCCCTCCACATTTAGAATAAAGATGCGTTTCGAGTATTTGGCTGATCTAGATTTTCACATGATAAGCCACTTCTGAAAAAGAGCTATAGTGCTCAGTGAGCCTACCTGGTAAATATTTTTTTTAAGTTCATGAAGTTAACAGCGACAAAGCGGAGGAAATTCATATGAGTCGAAGAATGCATCCCACCCCCTATGTGCACCACATTGCAATTAATACGTACACGTGTGCGTGTGTGCTAAGTAGTGGTGGTAGTAGTTGTTGCTAATCCGATTACGACGGATTAAAAGCCATGAGAGTATATGTGAGTGCGACAGCACTTGTGCACACACGGTTATTGCGATGGATTGGCATTGAATGTACAGCATGCAGTTTGCTTGCAGGCGTTAAAAAAGCCTTCGAGGAGTAAATCTGGCTGTAGAACTCTGAAATAAAAAAGAAGTGTCTGGGTAAAATAATGTAATTCTTTTTCTCTCATGCTCCGTAGCCAACTTAGTGGACCGCTGTGATGAGTGGATAGCTGTGTATGACTTGCTGTGGAAATTCAGCACATATTTCCTCTTGACTTCCTAAAATAACAATGAGCCTAACATTTAATTGGGTAATGCTTTTCATAATTCACCCAAGACATGGTTAACATTGACAGCGGTGGAAAATTACATGCTTGTAAAGTTAACTATATTTTACGAATACTTTTAAACATTTGCGTTGCTACATTTTCAGTTATGTTCTCCACATTATTTGTTTACATCCGAAGTTGGATGGGTTCTCGCCTGATTGTAAACTTTCTCTATGTATCTGTGTCATTTATAGCTGGTGGCTTAAATTATTATAATTATGTTTTATTCAATCGCTTTTGCCGTCTTACTCCGTTCCTCGTTCAATCAATGGTGCAGTGGATAGAACATGCCTAATCTTGAGCACACCAATTTCTATTCGCGATGTTGTTTTATAATATAAACTCTTGTTGCCTTTTGATTATTCGCTCAATCAACCCCATCATCTATTTTGGGTAAGATAAAATGATGACCACCTTGTAGGCAGTCAGCAGTGGTTTATCACATTCATAGACCTGTCATCATAATGTGAAATTTCCACTCCTGGTTCAAGAAACAAGCAACGTCCTAAATTAATTGAACCACCGAAACGATAACTTTTATGAACTGTATAAGTCTAGGGATAAACAGTTGTAGTCCGACGGACAGACACTTGCCACAATGGGAATGTGGAATTTCCACTACGAGCTCAGGGCGCCAGGGGAGAGCGGCACACGCTGCCTTAGATCACACATTAGCTGTGGGTGAGAGCTGTTTTCCATGCTATGTTTTATGGAGACTATAAGTTAGCTGTGTATGCGAGGGCTGTTTACACGCTGTGTGTGATAGAGGCTGTAAGCGGGCTATGTGAGGACTATGTGAGCACTGTGTGTGTGATGGGGGCTATGAGAGCTCACTCAGCCCACCTCCTTCCCCTACCCTCCCTCTCCCCCCCCTTGCTCCTCCCCCCTTTCTTACCTATGTAATGCGAGCGTAAATGGGGTTGTTGCTGGGCTCTGGTCCAATCACACGACCCGGGGTATTGGGGGCGGAGCCTGGTCTGCGGGGCGTGTGGGAGGGTCCACCGTTCACCTCAGCTCCAATGGGAGGCGAGGTGAATGGGGGCGGAGCCAGCGGGGTAGTATGGGAAGGCCGGATATGACGATCCGGAAGGGGAGGAGTCAGGGTCATGTGGGGGGAATGTATATAAGTGGGAGCCCGGAAGAGATCGGGGCAGTCGGGGAAGTTAAGAGGCTGAGCCACGTTGGGTGGTGAGGAAAGATCCGCGCCATGGGCCACGTGGCCGAAGGACCTCAGCACGCCGTTGGCCAGCGGTGTGCGGAGTGCGGGAATAGAGGAGCTAACGGAGGAGCGTGCGGGGCACGCGAGAGAGAGCATGCATAGCACGCGAGAGAGAGAGCATGCGTAGCACGCGAGAGAGAGCGTGTGTGGCACGCGGGAGAGAGCGTGCGCGGGGCGCGCGCGAGACGACACTGGTCCAAGAGGAGGCCAGTGGGGGTGCGGAGAAGAACCTGAATAAAAGACAAACGGAGACCAGCATCGCCTGACGGAGTCAGGCGATGCTGGTGTCAGAAGTGGAACGAGATGTCAAAACATCTCAAGAAAAAGAATATACCTGCACCATCTTCAGAAGACGAAGAGGACCTTCCTCCGGCGGTGGCGGTCCCGACCATGGAAGGCGTGGGCGAAGTAGCGGCGAGCGACACGACAGGAGTACAAGATGTCGTCGGGGCGGCCGGGCCGTCTGCGTCGACGGGCGCCGAGGACGGCTGGCGACACGTGGCAGTCCAGCTTGATTCGCTGCGGGCCGTTCTGCTGGATTTAGTCACCCTGGTCGTGCCAGCGACGATGCCAGATCGGCCACGCGGCGGGCCTTCAAGCGGGGAGCCTTCGGGTGGGGCCGAGCCGTCCACCATTGGGGCCTCTGCGACGCTTCCCACCCTCTCCGACACACGGCAGGACGCCGCGATCTTGGGTGTGGTCGCGGACGAACGGCGGGAAGCCGCCATCTTGTCGCCGCCGCAGCAGGGAAGCCGCCATCTTGTCGCTGCCACGGCAGGAAGATGCCATCTTGTCGCCGCTGCAGGGGACGCCTGCATCGGAAGACAGCAGCTCGGGGACTCGCAGCCATCGCCTGACGACGATTAAAGAATTCTCAATTGGAGGAGATTGGAGCGCATTTGCGTGGCGTTTTGAGTCGGCCGTCCGATCCGCCAAGTGGACAGATGCGGAGGCCTTGGAAGTTCTGCCGATGCTCCTAGACGACAAGTCTTTGAAATTCTTCCGCTCCATCAAGGCCGCGAAGAAGGCGACGCTGAAAGGGGAGTTCGACGAAATGGCGGAAGCGAACGAGCCTCCGGACGACGCACACCGCAGATTCGTCCAGAGGCAATGGGCACCCGAGGAATCGCCTGTGGCTTTTCGGGGCGCTGTGCTTGAGCTGGCCATGGCTGCGTATCCAGAGACGGAGCCCGACTTGTTGGAGCCCTTGATACTGGGTAAGATGTTGGAGCTGTCCAAGGACTTGGGCATTCCGATGCCGATATGCGGCCATGAGCTGCAGACCTCACGGTTGGCAGCCAAGTGCCTCGACGCGCAGTTCAACTTGTGCCGTTGGGCACAGGTGACCGCCTGGACGGGGAGCCCGACCATGGAGGGAGGCGCCGCTGGGTGGACTCCGTCAAAGGCCGTCTTCGTGCCGGACGAGAGGGGGCCTGGCGATCTCTCTGCAGCGGCGGCCCAGTGGGTTCCTCGAGGGGGAGCGGAGTCGCGCTCCAGCCCACCGCTTAGGGATCGTCGAGACGGGGGGGGGGGGGGGGGTGGTGAGCCGGGCGGTGGACCGACTCGTCGTGTTACCGCTGCGGGCGTCTTGGACACTTCGAGCGGGACTGTCGGAGTCGCCCTCGCCCGTCTCTTCAGCTGGAGTCCCCGGCCAAGGACGCGACATCAACGCCGGAGAGTCAACCATGTCAGGCAAGTCAGTACGCATCAGACACCCGGCAAGGCCTGTCATCTCATGCATCACCGTCGGTATGCGTTCCGGGGGCCTGTTCTAACGGGGGGAATCTAAGGGATCCGCGTCGCTCGCTGACACAGTGGCGGAAATTGGCGCGGAGGGTGGTCGCAGCCACTACTGGGTTGTCGACTGTGCCGGGTTCGATACAAGGGGTCGACGTGCGGATTTTGGTAGATTCGGGCACGTCCGCAACTATCATCTCGGACGTGATATTCCATCTCCTGTCCATTCCACCGTCGCGGGTACGACCGGTTTACGATTCATGTGTTGCGGCGAACGGAGGGAGTATGGGCATCGTTGGTCAGGTGGAGGCGCGTATTTCGGTTGGGGGTGTGTCGGCTTCGGGGACGGTGTTAATCTCCAGGTCCCTCGCTGTGCCGTGTTTGTTGGGGCAAAGATGCCCATTCAGATAAGGGTTGATCAGAATTGTATTGAGTTACTGGCGGGCCAGAAGATTTTCTTTTTGCCGTCGCCGTGGGGACAGTCCGCTCCGGACCGTCAGGTGCAGGCGCTATCCGATGTTTCGGTCGACATTCCACCTGGCTCGCATATGCTTATCCCCCTGCGTTATCGGAAGCCCGTGCCTGGGGTCGAGGGGGCGGCGGGGGTGTTGTTGTCACCGTCCAACGCGGTTACGGATGGCCTGGCACTGGTCGCGGCACGAATGATTGTTCGGCCGGGTCAGCCTCCGTTTTTACAAGTATTGAATGGAGGCGCGGACAATGTCGTCGTGCCGGCCGGAACGGTTTTGGCACATGCTACGACCGCCTTCACGGCCCATGACGATCCGGCCCACCGGGGCCTCGTAGGGGGCGTTTAGGCCTCGACGGTGCAGGACGATCGATGGATCACCGGGTTGTGCCAAGAAAATGCGTCCTTGACTACGGAGCAGCGGGTCCGCGCTTCGCGCGCTGTTGGAGAAATATCCTGATGCCTTTAGTAAAGACGATTTCGATCTGGGACGCACCAGGTTGCTCTCCCACCATATTGATACCGGGGATGCTGCTCCCATTCAGATGAATCCACATCGGTTGAGCCCGGCGGAGAGGGATCATGTACACGGCGCGGTGGATGATATGCTAGCCGCTGACATTATCTTTCCATCCAACAGCCCATGGGGCGCTCCGGTGGTCCTGATAAAGAAAAAGGATGGTAATTTACGGTTTTGTGTCGATTTTCGGAAGTTAAACAAGGTGTCGGTTGCGGACGCTTACCCCCTGCCGCGTATGGATGATTCCCTCAATGCCTTGTCTGGGGAGAATTTTTTTTCCACTCTTGACCTCTC